GACTTGGTTTTGTTTATTGGGTTTCGGGAGTTTTTTTCTTTCTTTCTTTTTCTATCTTTTGTACCAAATTAAAATGGAACTACCTAGGAATGGACTTTTTACTTGGAGATATAATCATAAGGAAATCTCATGTACCACTCATTTTCATGAGTGTGAGCAACCAGCTTAATATTGTATATTTGTTTAATCAAATATTAAGGAAGATTTTATCAAATTAAATAATTGCCTCAGTTCCATCTTTTTATTCTTAACAGCTTAAATCAACTGGATTCAAAGATTTCTTCAGGACCTGTCTCCAAGATGCAAGAAGAACTGGAAAGCAAATTTAATCCCACTCAAATTTCATGGGAACGTAATAAACAGCAGCAATATTTAACTGACATTTCAAAGCTCAGAAGCAGAATCATTGCATTTGTTAGACTTTAGACTCATTCCTTCATATTGCTTTAGTGCAGGAAATGTGATGCAACAAAGACTAGCCAAATATTGCAGAAATCAAAAAAGCAAACTAATATACCAAAAAAAAAAAAAAAAGGTTCACATTCAGTGATGGAAGTTCATGCTGAGCTGCAAAGTGTAATGACTGATTCTAAATCTGGTTAATTTTCAGTTATGCTATTTCCATTGGCAATGTTATACAACTTTGAGAGACTCTACTATAAAAAATTAAACAAAAATATCCACATCTCCACATCCACCTCAGCTAATCCTTTGCTTATTTCTATATTCAAAGCAACAGGGCATGCTCTAGTAGAAACGCCATGGTAGCAAAAATATGGATCAACTACACCTCCACCCTGTCCATAACAGCACAGGTATTTCACAGAAATGTTCATAATTAGTCTAATTAAAGTAACTTCCAAAGCCCTAAACACATACACGGATGACCTGGCCTTCATCCAAGTGAATTTACGCTCTCCCCAAAGTACAACATGGCTTCCTTCCAGCACCATCAGTGCTGAGAAAATACAGCACCCTGAAAGGAGAAGTGGGAAAAATTTCACACAACTCAAGCAATTATCAGATTACATCTCAAAGACAGTGTTGGGAAGTGCGTGTTACAGACCTTAGGGGCTTCTATCAGTAATACTGATGCTGAATTATGGGGAATAAGGAAAGCTACCATAGGCATCATGCCATTTTCTAATAACATTACTTCTACACCTTTCAGAAACACCTACACAGCTAATGAATAGAATACCAACAGACATCAGTCAATTGGAAACTTGCTGAATGCTGGAAAACCAACTATTTGGACTATTATATCTGCATTAATGGTGATATATATGTGCATGGATTAGACTGAGTAAGCAGAAATGGCAACTGGAAAGAAAGATTGCTGCAAATGGCATTTATTTACAGATTTAATTAAAAGTTTAGAGAAAAGAGTATTATCATATGACATTTGCAAAAGCTCCTGAAGATGGTAAGAAATTGCTAGAATTTGCTTCTCTGAAACAGCCGAGAGCCAGTGACTTCAGAAACACATAATATCTGCATCCCAAATAGTAACTCTTTAAATTTCTTAGTCAAAAATCTCATGCCGTTGGTCAAAAATAGTCACTACCTAATTATTTGTATATTCATGTGTGATCCACTGACTAGTCCCACTCCATAGTTATATACATGTTCAGAATGTAGAAACAATCACTGCAAATGGCATAACCTTGCTGATTTTTCCCAGAGCCTAAGAATGGCTGTAGGCACATCACAAAGAAAACAAAACCCAGAACAAACAGAGAATAACCTTCTGCCTACAAAGTGGTTCCATACAGATAAGGCCAAGCTGACTAGGGTGGTAGGGGGATGAACCAGAAACATCAAAGATAGGAAGCTTTTTGCAGTCCCTCAACAGTGTTGAGGGGTAGAGTGTGGGAGAGGTCACAGCAGCCCCAGGAATAGCTTTATGCAGCATTTCAATCCCAACTGCAATCTCAAACCAGGGATTGACAGAGAAGTAAGTTTTGAATGCAAAGTGAAAAAAATGAGTTTTACCCCAGCTCAGAGGACTGAGTGAGTTCCAACAGCAACTGATGGGAGATGTCCATGAAATATTTTAGGCAAAAACAAAAAACAAAATGAAAAACAGCTGGGGCAGTCATCATGCATCCTCCTGGTCAGCCACGGAAATTTCTATCATAACACATTCATTTTCATTACTCCTGTATTATATGAAGCAAAGTTAGGGTAGGAAATTCCTCATCATTTTTCGAACCCAAATGACAACTGAGCACAGTATTTTACAAGTGAAAGTTGTACTACCTGCAGTGTCACATTTCCTGCTTAAAACAAAGTAAGAACTTGATCTCTATGTTCTGCAAAAAGCAGTGTTTAGAAGCTATCTCTAAAGTCAATGTACTCTGAGATGAAAATCTTGAGTCTCCCATCCTACAGCTGTAAACCTAGAGGGAAACGGTGGTAGCTCAGATATCACTCTGCAGTAATTACCACCAACAATTTTGTTTTCTAAAGGCAATAATTCTGGGTTTAGAACAACACAGAAAACTGTCTTCACATCCCTGGTATGAAAACTTTGCCCTATCCAACATGCCTCATCATCAATTATCTGGTAAGGATAGATCTTTTAGAAGCCATGAATGATGTTGCAGAACCAATTCACTAAATCTGCCTTAACACACTTGAGAGATAATTGAGATGTCAAGCCTCATCAATATCAATCTACTCAAAGTAAGGACAAGGGGAGAGGGGAAGAATGATAATGAATAATAACGTTATGTGAAGCTAGTTAACTTATAGCATAGAAAGAGATAAATATCAGTCACTAATCTAAATGTCCTTGAATTACATGGAAGTCTGGGCTTAAGAGCAAGCCTAATTCCTTAAAAAGCTTCTTTCCATAAAAATTGATTATTTGTTTACAGAGTAGCAGTCTTTTTTTCTATTTTAATTTCCAAGATTTAACCTTTTTTTTTCCAACTCCAACTTAACACACAGGAGGTAAAATAATGAATTTGGACAGCATACAGGAAACATCAGTAAAATATTACCTTAAAAAAAACAACCCTAAAATTCTTCCTGACAAGGCAGAGGAAGCAAAGTGTCAGATCTCTCAAGAGCTCCAAGCCTCAGAAGAGGCTTCTGCCAATTTTCAGCAGTATGAATTTTTGTCTGTGCCTTTCTCCGTCACTGGCTGTAGATCTCCTCCTAATCAATACATAGCCATATACATCCCACATTACTTTCTCAAAGGTCTTGCATCCCATTTATCGTCCACTCACTTTGAAAGCTGACATTGCCCACAATCCCGTTTCCTTCATCTATCCCTTCCTCCCTATCTATTTTCCCATTTCCCCGCACCCCTCCCAACTCCTCCTTGTGATATCCCCTTCTCACAAAATAGCATCTCAGTCTCTCCATCTGTTTCTTCAACCATCTGCTCACTCCTTCCCTTCCTTCTTGCTGGATAACTCCACAGTCTCTCTAGCGTAACTTCTCAGTCTCCCTGCAATACCCCTAAAAACTCTTTTCCTCTTCTATTCAAAAATAGTAAGTACAGTGAGTGTTCCATGCTAGGCCTTGTTGAGGGGTGTGTGCAAAATAGATATCCATGAATTTAACAACCCTTTGCCTTGACAGCTGCAAAGTACTTTGGAAGCTTCATGTTTTACACTGCTCCATTTTATTCAAAATGTCATGGCCAAACTGATCTGCTTTCCTTGATGGGGTGCTCTGGCCAACAAATAACACTTTTTAAATCAGCCTCATTAGCCATCTACATCCTACAGTATTTTCAGATTCCCCATCTTCAGGCCCTGAGCAGCTCTTTCTTGCCTGGCACCTGGTGTCATCCTCTGCCAATTCTGCTTGGTTTGCTTTGATCTCATCCCACAAGCACTTCTCTCCCTTCTCCTGTTCAGACACTCTCTGCCTGGAATCAGCTCTTGAAGCTGATTACTACTCCATTTCGCTCTTGCTCACCCTCTCTTTTCTACTCTGCCCAAGACTGTCATTTTTATCACACACAGAACTAGAGAACCCTTCAATTCATGATAGAGAGGAAAAATATTGCATTTAAATACCATCAAACATCCATTTCCAAGTCTGTGCCTTTCTTCTTTTTAAAACACCTGGCTTTCTATTATTCATTTTATTTCCCTGCTTTGCTTCTTTTCACAATCCTTCACCTCCCAGTACCTGCATTATACATTTCTTTATGCCTAATCATTTTCTGTTCATCCCCTCAGTTTATGCCTTTTTTCCCTCTGTGCTTTTCAGTGAACATGGCAGGTTACTACCAGATCTCGTTCTGACTGAGAACAGCCTACGTCATTCTGGGTGATACACAAATAACATAGCAATTAAAATTCAAGAAGGCAAAATCAGAGAGATGACATTGACTCCCCTCCCCCTCCCCTTCCATTTTCTTATCAGCTACTGACATTTAGAAAATTCCAACCAACTCACATAACAAAATTTTGTCCCAGTTTCTCAGGAAAGTAAGGCTTGTAAGATAACAACCTGTTGATCAGTTCCACCCTAGACACTTCTGTACCCATAAGTCAGTATCAAATAATACAAAGACAGCAAGGACCCTGAAGTTATCAGTGGTGAAGCAAAGAGAAACCCAAATTAATATCTTCGTTTGCTGTGGGATGCAGTAGCCAACTGACCTGATCTGCAGAGTAGTTTGGGCCACTCATCAGTACATGCTTAGCTTGGAAGCAGCCAAAGCACCTCTGGCACATGACCAGTGCACGGTAAAGGGAGGGAGCTGGAAGGACTGAGGGGAGTCTGGTAATCAAAATAATTCTGTAAAAGCCAGCTTCCCTAAGTTTCCCTGCTTACAGTAAAAGGATCAGGGGTTAGTCTTGTATTATTTCACCTAATGCCAAAGTACTGCCTATGCCATAGTTTATAGATCCTTTTCCAGGTCCAGAAGATCATTAAGAACACAACTCTGATGCACTAATACCCATAACACAGATGAAGCATTTTTCTTTTTGTTTCCCTGATCGGAGAAGGAAAAACATGCTCTCTACCTTTTCTGAATTATACTGGGATTTGCAGTCACCAGCTGTGTTTTCGATCCAACGTCCTTGCTGTATTCACTGGATAGAGGAGGAAGGTTACACCTGTGCACAGAAAGACAGTCAAGATTTTAAATGGCATTCAGGATTGACGTGCTTCAGCCTCAGTCTTTTTTAATCTGCAAGTTTGCAGGTGTGGGGCTGTTGTTTTTTATTAAAGAAAGCAGGCTGTCAGAAAACATGAAAGTGCTGTATAAATATGAGACTACACTACAGGTGCTCCCTACTGTTTCACAACTATAAACACAATAGGTCAATTTTGTACTAGATTGTTAGGAAATGCAGAAATAATACCTTTTGCAGAGACAACATTCTGTAACTACCAAGCAAAGACACAAACTTGGCATTTCTGATAGACTGAAAGGCTGTAGAAGAAGCCATTATTATCTACAGAAAAGACTTTTTTTACCAAAAAATTATTTTAAAGTTCTGTTTTTCACTCTATTCTGTGTTATTTACCAGTATCAGGCTCCAGACTATTACCACTCTGTGTTATTTTAAGATTACACATCTTGCAAACAACAGGCAACTGGCATTTTTAATATTAGACTGTGGGGTAATACACAGCATACAGAAATTACCAAGAAAACACAGAGAAAACAATTAAGTGGCTATTTAAATATGTGCATCTCACAGTCTTACTCTGGCAGGTAGGGTGATAATGTAATAAAGAAAAAGTGACTGAGCAAATTTACCTTGGAAAGCACAGCCAAGACTCAAAAAAAATAGAAGTAGAGAGAAACCTTGAGACAATGAAGTCCTAAATACACTGTAGTAAAGGCCTCGGAAAAGGAGGAAAGTGCAGCAGATAAAGATGAAAATGCATTCAAACAGTACCCAAGCCTGTGCACTGCTCCGTAAATTACGGTCAGGAGAAATTTACTCAGCAAGAGAGGCTGCAAAGTGTTGGCTACACTTTCATGAGTTTTGGTTTCGTGCAGCATCCAAGGGAGAGGGCACTAGTGTGCACACAGAGTACTCTCTGCTATTTTTGTTAATGCAAAACATCCAGAATCCCTAAAGAAAAAACCACTGTCATGCTACATCTGCATGTATTTGCATACAAATGCCAGCTCTCAAAACCATATTCTTAAATTCTCATCAGGAAATGCCAAGGAGAAGGACAACAAAGCCCCACCTATGTGGAACATAGATGGATTCAAACGTATTCAACAAGAAAAATTTAACATTTCCAGGAATATTTTCTTCTTCACATGACTACATTGATTAAGATGTGCACAATGTGATGAGATTTCAGTTAGGAAGCAGCTTCTAGTTTGATTTACTGCAACTTAAGAGAAGCTAGATAACTTAAAAAGAAGCCAGAAAACAGGAATCCAAATAAGAGGCCTCAGAAAATGCAAACTTTGATAAGGGGGAAAAAAAAGGGGGCAAGAAAGACTAGAACCACAAGGGAAATTTAATTCCTGGACAAAAAGAATGATAAAACCTTAAAAATCAAGAAAGGTTTGAATAAAATAAAATAAAATAAAATAAAATAAAATAAAAGCAGTAAGTTGCTCCCTGCACCTGCACTGGGTAGCATACAAATTAATTTAATACAATTAATACTATTTGAAGAGGTTGTAGAAACTCTCTCAGCAGCAGTTTTCAATGGCAGGTCAAACAAATATTTGTGAAGCAAGCTATATAAGTGTTATGCATCAGAGGACAAAGATCGTATAAATGACCTCTGGCAGATTACAGTATAATGCCTTCTGATTTGATAAACATAAACTCATAGGCAAGCTTGTAAGAAGCCAGTTTTAGTTGAAGGGTATTTGAAAGCACTGTGAGGGACCAAGAATTCTCCCTAGTTCTTATTATCCTAACATCTCAATAATTAAATTTCTTTCACAGGCAAATCTCAGATGCATTATTTAAACATATCTAATTCCTTTCATCAGTAAGTCTAATTCCCACCTTGTCTGCATGAAATATTAACAAATGGCCTGAGTATCCAGAGGAAACTGCAAGGAATCAGTCGGTTGACAGAAACTTCTGCAATCTTCAGATTGTTTTCCTGAACAGGTCAGCAGAGTGCCGAGTGTTGTGCAGGTGAGGAGCACACCAAGAAACAAAAGACTTATCCTAAGAAATTCCTTTTTTGTTATCTTACTCTTGCATCTGGTACTCCGGAATAAGCATGTGAACATACAGAAAAGAAGGAAGCATCAGGCATTTCAGGCCAGCATTTTTAACACGAGCCTAAACAGAAGACTGGAACGTTTTGGTCTGCCATGTAGAAGAACAATATGACTTAGACACAGCCTTCAAGTGGGGAAAAAAAGTAATCCAGAGGCAGAGTGGCACTGTCTTTTTCACATCTGAGACCTTCCAACTCATATAGGTAGGAACAGCTGCAACAGTAAAATGAAAGGTATGCTTCGACCCCCACCAGGCAGAAATGGCTGTTCTCGGTTTGGTCCAGACAGAAGCCTATTTCCCCACAGGTGCAGAGAATCTAGGCAACTTGGCTGATGCATGTGAGCTTGGTAGCTGCTGTGTGACTGTTTTTGAGTGTTATCATATACTAAACACTAGGGACTAATACAAATTTAATATGTAATTGCAAACATTCATTTTATTTTCCTCTGTGGCACCTTGGCCAACGTCAAGACAGTAACTGCATAAGGCAGCTGAAAGCCATGTTTACTTGTCTACAAACCCCAAAATGCCTCCTCTCCACTTCTCTGGGAGACAAGCAAACAGCAGCAGAGCCATGGAAAGCGGTTGGAGGAAAGGGAGAACTGTGAGATGTAGAAATAGTTCTTCAAAATCTAATGACAAGAAAAATGTGGCTCTTCTGTCAAAGTACAGACAAAAACATTGCTTAGGGTTTAGTACCCAACATTTCTCTCTCAAAATAATCATTAGCATGAAGGGAGGGGAAAAATAAATTTATTTACTTAGAAATAAAGTTTACTAACTTGAAAACTAGCCAGATGTCAGAATAGCCTATTATAACCACGCTACCTAAACACATAGACCAAATGCAATGCACCTTTTTCATTGCAGATGCAGTATGCTCTGCCTTAGGGCCTGAAAACTGCTGCTCTTTTAATCTCTATGTTGGTACAACTGTATTTGTAGAAAATTCCCAGCAACAAGATGAGCTTAAACTCATTAATTAGTCCTGGTGATGACAATAGATCAGAGACGATGGCTGCAGTCATATGATAAAGCTTATGGAAGTACACTCAAGTGAAATCACAAAACCACGTGAACTGAAGGAAAGAACAAGGACAATACCTGGCATGACATTTCGCACTGCAGAAATATTTTCAAGATGTTACACAAATTTCTTCTTTTTTTTAATGAAAGATGTTATGCAAGTTACTGCTGTGCTCTTTCTCAGCTCTCAGATTATCAAAATCAGCTTTAGAAAAGATCAACTAAATCGTCTTCCACCTGCTATAAAAATACTTTCTCCCAGTAGTGCCTTAGTTGTGACCCAAAAGAACTGAAACATTTTCCATAAATATGACTGCACATCACTGATACTATACAGCCTGAAGGCAGCTACTGGGATTTTTGCAGGATTCTCCCTATCAGTTATTTCCAATTCAAAATAAGTTCTGCACGGGTAATGGTTGCTCTACCCTGCCTGGAAAGAAAAAGATTTTTCTGATCAAGCTGCAACAACTGATGGGTTTGTTTAAGTTTTTCTAAACAAAAAAGTTTCTATTGTTTTTGTAACTGATTGCTCCTGCAGCATTCCAATTTTCCATTGCATCTAGATAATATTACCATGGTATATACCCTGCAGTTTCTTATATTTAGTTTGTGGAACACCCAAGGAGTTTTGCAGTAATGGCAATCAGCACACTGCCTCTCTCGCCCTGTGCCTTACATCTTCTCTTCTGTAAATGCTCCAAGTATACATTTCCTTTTGCCTTTAGTTTGTTGTATTCCTTTGCTTTAACACTGAAGGCATTTTGCGTCTTTGAGTTGCAAACCTGAAATCACAATAATACTGTTTGGTGTGCAGAAAATTTGTATGGCTTTATAATAAGCCATTGGGATCTCACAAGGAGAGATGAGGCTCACAAAGTCCTTGGCCATACCAAAACATCGCTATCAGCTCTGCTCCCAGGCCGAAAGTCAAAACACTGCACTGCACCAGCTACCAAGAAGGAGAAAAATAACTGCTGCTGCTGAACCCAGGACACCCACTAAAGTGGGTGTTCATTATGTAACCCTCTCAAATCCTAAAGAAACCCCATTTTGCAATCTCTTTGGGAGCACTCCTCCAGTTTCTCCCTTGTTCATGTTTAACAGGGAAGAACTAATTTCTGTCTTTCTTCCTTACAGAATGCAGACATAGAAGGTGCCAAATTCAATCAGGAAAGCAGCAGCTGCTTCAGCATCCCTCCTGACAGGTTCTTATAACTTTAGGAAGGCTGGAGGGAAAGGAAATGTGAGGAATTCCAAAAACTCTGCATCAAGGAAAGGAGAAAAGGTTTGGCCTTTCCTCAATCAGCCATCCAGAAGTCAATCTTGAGGGAAGAAAAACATAGAGAGATTTGAGCTTGTTCCAGCTCATGTCTTTAAGCTTTTCCCTATAATTCAGTACCTACTAATGCATATGATGGCATTTAGAGTTGCAGAAGACAGAGAACAGGATGAGTGGCAGGATGAGACCCTGCTTAATGCTGCATAATTAAAAGAGAATAGCAGCTCCTTAGTATCTGTGACACTGCACAATCTGCCACAACCTGAACCCACACATATGCAGACAGTCCCCCCACTCTACAAACCCATTTACAGAAGCCAGTCAAAACTCTCTTTTTTTGCCTCCCCTCACACTTTGATCCAAATCACTTGTGTAAAGCATCCTGCAAAGGGGGCGGGGAAACAAAGCAAATTATAACTCATTAATCACAACTGAATAGCTTTGAAAAGTCCAAGATTTAACAGGGGGAAAGGGAGACAATGTGTCATTCAGGTTTCTGTCTTACCGCATCACAAAATCTGCTTGATCTATTTGTTTTCCGCAGCCGCTCTTTTTCAGGATCCCACCATTTCCCACCACAGAGCATTTCTTCAGTGGCAGCTGGAAGGGAGTAGCCTAGCAACACAAAACAAGGACCAGTTTGACAGAGAACACACATATCTTTGTAGCAGCTGCTCCTGGAGAAGCCGGGGAGCTGGCAGGGCTCAAAGTGAGGAAAGAAAAGGGAGAATTAGGAGCTAGGGAAAAAACAAAGTACAGAAATTAGCTGGTAAGTAGATGTAGGACAGGTCTTATCCCCACTCCCTAAAGCAGGACACAACAGACGGGATACAGAAAATAACATTTCTGCTAAACCAAAACTGCCTAAGGTCAAGAGTTAGATACTGACCAAGCCACGCAGAGGGAGCCTTCTAGCCAAGCTGCAAGGACACAGGAGAAATAAGACAATAGGAAAAAATAATTTAAAAAAAAAAAAAAAAGGTTCCAGGAAAGTGACCTTCCTGAGCTGATATATAAAAAGCACTGGGAAAGAAAGGAAGCAAGGAACAGGGAACAAGGTGTTGACAGACAGGCACTGGGAATCTGGGGTCACCCTGGCTCTCTCTGTGGTTGTTTTGCTAGGATAGGTCACTGTGAAGCCTTAGGCAAAGATATTTAGAGCTTGACAGCAACTCCTTAAACGCTCAGCTGCCCAGACACAGGATAAATTAAAATTAGAAAGAGACCATTTTAACTAAGGAACTCTTGTAGCTGCTTAGCAGGGCATAAAAGAACAAGGTCAAATTGTCACACTAGCCTATGCAGTAATAAATTAGATCTGTGTAGCTGTCTTCATTCCAGAGGATCCCAAAATTACAGGGGGGACATGTACCTGTTAGCCCCAAGTCATTCACTTTTAGTGATGTCAGGAAAGTCATTTAAGCAGCACATAGTGCAGCCCAACATATAAAAAACAAAAAGGTGGTGAAAATAGACGTGAATTTAAAGCAGTGCAATTTAGCTACAGAATGGAATTTTTTTTACAATATAAGAGTTAATATTCTCTTAATGCAAAAAAATGTATAGGGATTTTTTATGTATCAACCCTGTCAAAACCTGACTTTGCAGTAGAGATAGAAATTACTACACAGGTCTCCAAGAATGCAGATGCCACAGCAACAGGATGCACCACCACAAAACAGTTCTCCTCTCCAGGAGGAGAGGGTAGAATGATGGCAGCACTTGTCCTCACTCACATGTACAGAACAATGTCTGACATTGCATCATGTATTCGCCAAGCACTGTAATAGTGTACATGGTCCAGAAACAGATCCCGCATTATAGCATAAACTGTATTTCTTAGGAATTATCTCTGCTGTCTTACTTCTTCATATTTATTTATCTTCTTTTCTCAGCAAACTAAGTTCCATTCAGCCAGTATAAAGCCACAACCTCCTTTCTAATGAAAAATATTAATGCATTTTTTCTAACTCTAGATTAAGATATGCTAAAGCAGAAAAACAAATTTTAGTTTCCTGAAGTCCAGCCACCGTTAGGAGCCCAGTAAGTGACAACATGGCAGTGCAATACTGAGTATGCAGCTGCACTCTTCTGCATCTGCCTTCTCAAGAGCAGTTTTTAATATACACAGTTATTGAGCTAGGAGCATACCTTGAGATTCAAAGGACACCTCATCTCTGAGGTGACCCTGGCCAAATGAGAGCTCAGATACTCAGTAAAGGATGGGGAAGGGAGGGGATGGGAATCAGAGGAAGTGTAGAAGAGATACATCTTATAAATAACAGTACCTTATTCAAGATATATCAAAGCTCCTTCCAAGGGAGCTAGTTATACAAAGGCAAGACTGTGACAAATCACAGAAAAAGGCAGCAGTTATTAAGCCTCACTTTTAAGAGCTGTGGACACTGTCCCATAAATTCTGTGGCTTTAGAACATGTTGAGTGGCTTTAGATGTCCCAAACTAAACATTTAGGAGCTACTAAATGCTTCAAGATTCTCTGACTTGCAAGCAGCCTTTGAGATTGCTTGACATGACCTGCTGTCCTTCAAGGGAGGCTTACACCCTGTTATGTTCAAAGATAATAATATTAGTTGTCATTTGCGTACATTCATTTCTGTCGTGGTGTGACGTGAAGCTTTGAAACTCTAGTCCTCCAGAGAGCCCAAGAAACAAAAGAACAAGATCAGGGCTGCCAGGATGATTTGGGGGAGCCAAAGGGAAGTAAAAGAGGCAGATAAAATCACCACAGTGGATGCCCCTCTGTCTAACCTGCAAAGAAATCCACTCTGTGGACATTGGAGGAAAATGAGGCTGAAAGCAGTTTTCTGTGAAAAGCCAGCATACCCACAAGAGGTCACAGACACTTATGCCTCACTCAGCAAAGCCCTGTAGAGTTCACAACATGGCACAGACATCAGACAGAATCTACACGCCAGTGTTTACCTTAAAATGTTCAATGGATGCCTTTTCCAGAAGGCCATGATTTTTCTTCAAACATTTAAATCACAGATCTATATTATTGCTGGGACTGCAGGGGCATTTCATGAACTCTGCCCCGAGTCTCTTCATCCAAACGAACTGCCTGCTCATACACAGATCATACAAGTGAAACTCAAGTGCTGTCCACAAGCAACTACAAAACATATTGCTCCTTTTTCTCCCTACAAAAGCCATTTATCTTTTCCCTCTCTGGTGCAGGATGTTCCTGCGATGGCACACTTCCCTCCCCTCCCCCATCCAAAGGATGCTAATGGGACAGCCAGCACAGATAAAGGCACTTAGAGGCTCTTCAAAGCTAAAATGCTGCGGGCTTCATTCTGTGACTTCCTCCCATGGGCATTCAGCTCATGCCTTCCTTTGGGCGGCCCAAAATTGGAAGTGCAAGATGCTTAAACAAAATTGCAACAGAGTTTACCTAAAAGTAGTTCCAGTCTTAACATGCAGCAGAATTACTCAGCTTTTCACATCATTCCTGGGCTTTTAAGATGCATCCTCTAGCTGTTCCTACAGCTGGCTTGTCAGCATATGTACTGTGGATTTAAGGTTGAATTTAATATTTAACTTATTATCTAAACCTAGAGTTATTTTACCCTTTTAAGGGTAAAAAAAGCATCAAAGGTGGGCTCCAATAATGATTTGTTTCTTCATACCAAGTGATCTTATCCTATCTTCATAGTGTGGGGGATCTGCCTTCAGATTTTTTGAATGCTATGTTGGAGTTGAAGGATTAGAAGAATGTTACAACTTCCTCCAGAACTAAACTGGTTGCACTTATTTGTAAAACAGATTTGGGCATTCCTTGTAATTTCAGTAAGCAGCAATTTTCAATCAAAAGTGTTAGACTTCTAACATGATGATGCTATTTAGAGATAATACTATATAGTAAACCCAAGTTTGCTTCTAGGTTTCTATTACCAGCAAAATATGTTTCACAGGATTTACAAAAACCTCCTCATGCTTTCCTTCTTTACCTCCCACAGTGTAACTCTTTGCTAGGCAAACTGTCTGCTCATAGCTAACAGCATATAAGTTCTCACATTGTGGGGATCCAGCTGTCGTCTATGCTAAATGCTCACAGAAAAGCTCAGCTGTTTTTCTCCTTAGAATTATAAGGTGGCCTAACAAATGCTGCCTTTGGGCTGTAAAGTTGTAGCAAACACATTTTCATTAATATTAGCTTCCTGAAACTCTTATTTTCATCGTCAACATATTTGTTATTTTCTTCATTCATAAAATTTTAACAAACAGCTGGAGTCTTGTGGGTGGACTAGAAAAAAAATAGCACAGCAGCAGTTTACCTAGTGGAATAGAGAAAAAGTAAAAATAAAAACCAACTCATCCCCATTTTTTAAAGCAATCATTACCCTAGAATACACAAATATGGTTAACTAAAACCACCTTGCATAATGGGAATAAGTGGGGTAAATTCCCTTAAAAAGTAATTATCAAATAAGTTCAAAAAGGATTAAATAAGGGTTTTTTTAAAAGGCATCTCCAAACAAAAACAAAGAAAGGTCCCATTGTTTCATTTTCCCTGGTTTAAAACAATGAAAATCTACTGATAATCAATGAAGATGTTCCAGTTCATATTCATGTAAAGAAAGGAACCTGCACACAACCCTGCAAATTCAATGACAAATAAGCACAGAAAGCAATTAAGACTCTCAATTGAATATGAGACTAATTTAACAAAGCATCTATCCAGCAATTCACTGATTAATTTCATCATTCATCTCAGCAGAAATAAATCATTGTCATCAGTTAAAAGAACATTACATAGTACTAACAAAATACCATTTATTTTAGATAATGCAACTCTAATTTGCTTTGATTTCGTTGTTACATTGCTAATGCATTAATTTTTGCCCACTCTCTGCCAAAGACATTAATCAGCAACCAAATTCTTACTGGGAAAAAATACAATGTTCTGTCTGATTTAATGCTGAAGATGTCAAAAACACTGAAAACACTGAGAACATAAATTAGAATAGATTTTAATTTTTATTTTTTTTAATAAGCATCCTGAATTTGCAAGAAATGCTGTGGCTTTACTGTCCCTTTTGAGAAGGCGGAATCCTGATGAGAAGGGCGTTGTTCGACTGATTTTCTTAAGGAGCCAGCAAAACCCTGGGAGTTAATGAGAAGCCAAATTCTGGTCTTAACATTTTCTTGCACCTTTAGGATGCAGCTGACACTTTAAAGGCTAGCTCTCTATGTGTCAACCATAGGCAACAGTGGCCTGGCTTTTTACACTGTCAGACATGGCAGGGTAGCAAACACTCCTTCTTCATTGTTTACAAATCATCTTCGGTCTGATGGGCCTTTTGTTCCTCCTACAGAGCTGTCAAGACATGACAGCTTGACAGCAACTGGCTCCAAAAACCATCACTGTCGGGGACAGGGTATTCTCTATAGGGGAATGTGGAACGTGGCTGTGGCTCCCTTGTACCGGAGCCAGAGCGAGAATTAACTTGACAGCAGCGAACACCAGAGAGGACGGGAGGAGCCGCTCCTCCTGAAAGAGAGGGCTTTTCAGCCCGTCTCCTACACTACACCACCATAGGGAGACAAATGACAATCTTCATTCTATCCTTTAGAAGTAATTGTTATTTTA